CCTAGCAGCTGCAAGCTGGAACACTTGTGAGCTCAGCAGGGAAAAACACAGGTCCCCAGCAAGGTAACAAGAAAAATTCCTTTTCTTCCTAGCCTTACAGAGAAATCTTTGAGTTCTTCATAGAGGACTTCAAAACATACAAGCCATTGCTGTCTTCCATCAAGAATGCCTATGAGGAGATGCTGGGTAAGAATGCATCTACTTCTCTGGGCTGGGCTAAGAAAATGCAAGAGTCAGACATGGCGCGGTGTCCTAGCAACTGGGGTCCTCACCTTAAAAGTGCCGGGATCCCATATGGGTGCCGATTCTGGTCCCGGCAGCCCTGCTTCTCGTCCAGCTTCCTGTTTGTGGCCTGGAAAAGCAGGTGGGGATGGCCCAGGGCCTTGGGGCCCTGCGCCCGCATGGGAGACCTGAGGAGGTGGCTCCTGGCTCCTGGCTTCAAATCAGTTCAGCTCTGGCTGTTGCGGTCACTTGGGGAGTGAATCATTGGGCAGAGGATCTTCCTCTCTGTCTCTCCTCCTTTGTGTATATCTGACTTTGTAATAAAAATAAATAAATGTTTAAAAAAAACCTGCAAGGGTCCTGCTCTCTTGATCCAAGGCTCCAGGGCAAGACCAGAGCAGCTATTAACTGGGCTTTGAGGCCACCAAACCCCCACCCCGAGTCTTTCTGCATCACTGTGCTGTGATAAAGAATCCGAGACACTTAATCACCTCCTGTTCTTGAGAGGCACAGTAGGAGGGCCAGTGTGCTGGAACAGGATTGAGCCGCCACCTGTGACTTCAGCACCCCCATTCAAGTCCTGGCTGCTTCACTTCTGCTCCCATTCCCTGCTAATGCACCTGAAAAAGCAGCAAATATTTGGGCCTCTGCCATCTCCATGGGAGCTCTGAATACAATTCCAAGTTCATGCCTTCAGCCTGACCCAACCTGAGCCATTATAAGCATTTGAGGAGTGAATCAGTGGAGGGAGATCTCTCTGTAACTCTTCCAAATAGAGAGAAGCATGGTGGGACAGTTTCCACATGAAACACAGTGAACCCAGAAGACAGTGAGTACCTCTGGGAAGTGAGGAGGTGCCCAGTTGCAGGCAAGCTGCAACACCAGCAGTTACAGAGGAAAGAGCATAGGAGAGACCCTGGTCTCCAGCCAGGCTCTGGCCCTGGCTTAGAAGCAAGTTCAGGGCAATGTAGGCCCCTTGAGTACACAGACCAAAACAACCACTCACCTGAGTGTGACCTTGGGCCCTATCACCTGGCTGTTCTCTACTGCCCCCAAAGAGTTCTCCCACCTGCCCCTGCTTAGCCCACCAAAGGGAGAAGATCCGGGCTCTGGAGCCACTGAAGGCCAAACTCGTCACAGTGAATGAGGGTTGCGATGAGAAGATTCTGGCCATGAGGGCTGAAGAGCGGAACGAACTCTCCACACTCAAGACAGAAAAGATGCACCTGCTAAAACTCATCGACAAAAAGAATGAAGAAAAGATCTCCTTACAGAGTGAGGTCAGCGCAAGCAGTGTGGCAACCCTGTCCCTGTTCTCCTGCCCCACAGATGCCCAGAGTAGTTGGAGGGAACCCTGAGGCCATGGGCATGGAGGTGACACATAACCTGCAAACCTGCCCTCCCCTTGCATCTGGAATGACACACAGAACCGCCACCTCCACCCCACCCCCAGAGCTTCACTCAGCACCAGCCAGGGGCGGGAGAGGCGAGTGCCACAGACTCCATGGGAGGAGGCATTGGCACCTTGCTGGGATCTCAGGAAAAGCAAGATTCCTCCAAGCCTTCCTGTTGCCAGGCTCTGAGGGGACCACCCCACACCCCTCCCATCCCCTATGATGACTAATCATATGCAGGAGTCCCCTGCACACAGCCATCTTCCCTCCAGGTGACCAAACTGAGGAAGAACTTGGCTGAAGAGTACCTGCGTTACCTCACTGAGCGAGATGCCCGCAAAATTCTGATCGCAGATCTGAACGAGCTGCGCTACCAGCGGGAAGACATGTCCCTGGCCCAGTCCCCAGGTGAGCTGGAGCCAGGTGGCTCTCTGGCCCTGAGGGACTGGGGAATGGGGAAGGCAGCTTTCCACTGTCCATCTACATACAGCATTCCTAGTCTGTTCAGGCCACAATTGTTTGGGAACTTCCTCTGCCACCACCTGGCGACCAAGTTAGGCAGGAACACTGCCAATGGCTTAGGCCACCTAGACTGCCAAGGACAGTCTGTCTAGGAGATGCACTGTATCCTGAGCCCCTTTCAGCTGATAATGTTGTCCCAGCTGATAATGAGTCCCAGGGAAGACAGAAGGGCCCAAGGGTGTTCCCCCCTTGCCCTGGGCTCTGAGCCCCAGAACCAGGGTGACATGGGCTGTGGGGCTTCCTGCAGATGTCTGGGGGGAGGACCCCATGATGCTCTCATTGGCTCTGAAGATGGCACGGCAAGACCTGACCCGGGCCCAGATGGAGCTCAACACCATGAAGGCCAACTTTGGTGATGTGGTACCCAGGAGGGACTTTGAGATGCAGGAAAAGAACAACAAGGATATTCAGGAGCAGGTGCTGGAACACGGGCTGGGACAGGCAGGGCCGGGCTGGGCTGAACGGGTCGGGGAGACAGAACCATAGACCTTGTCTGCAGCTGGATGGCCTGAAAGCTGACTATGAGGAGGTGCGCAAGGAGCATGAGATGCTGTTGCAGCTGCACATGAGCACGCTCAGGGAACGTGACCAGTTCTCCTTGGAGCTGCAGGAGATCCAGCGCACCTCCACGCCCCGGCCTGACTGGACCAAATGTGAAGGTGCTGTCGGCCTCAGGGAACCTGGGGACCACTGAAGGGGATGGGCCAGGTTTCAGCTTCTTTTCCTCACCTGCAGATGTGGTGGCTGGGGGCCCAGAGCGCTGGCAGATGCTGGCCGAGGGCAAGAACAGCGACCAGCTGGTGGACATACTCCTGGAGGAGATCGGCGAGGGCCTACTCCGGGAGAAGGACTTCTTTCCTGGGCTGGTAGGAGAGTCCCTGGGCAGACAGCTTGGAGTGAAATTGCAGCAGCCAGGCCTTGTTGCTAAGGAGAGCTGAGCTTCCATAAAGGAGCCATCCGGGTCTCTTCCCAGCCTGGGAGTAGGCCACAGATGGCCCTGGAGACGAGCTGACCCCTCCATCTATCTCCTTTCAGGGCTTTGGAGAATCCATCCCCGCCTTCCTGCGATGTGATGGCCCCGTGCCAAACAAGAAGCCAGCCAAGAAGGACGTGGTTAGCCTTCTTAAGGATGTCTGGAAGGAGCGTATGGCGGGGGATAAGGTCAGAGTTCACCAGCCTGCTGGCATGTGGGCTTTCAGAGTCATCCAGGAGCTCCCCTTAAGGGCCGACCAACCCTGGAACAGCCTGACCAGGAATTTCCTTCGTGCTACAGAAAGAGAAATTCCCAGACTTCTTCTTCAGTTTCCTGGAGCGTCGGTTTGGACCCCAGGATGCTGTAGCCTGGGCTTACACCCTTTTTGAAAACATCAAGCTCTTCCGCTCCAATGAGGTCATGAGTCAGTTCTACGCAGTTCTGATGGGAAAGGTAAGCTTCAGCTTCATCCCAGCCTGCACTGCTGGGGATCCACCAGCACAGCCCAGCTCTGTGCTTGTGAACACCTCCCTCCCCGTAGAGGAAAGAGAGTGTGTACATCAATCAGAAGGAGCTCCTTGCCTACTTGCTGAAGGAGATGACAAATGCTGACAGTCAGAATGAAGGACTCATAACCATGGAGCAGTTTAGGTGAGAAGCCAGACCAGACCAGTTCAGACTCCCAGGCCAGGCTCTGGCATATTCAGGGATGAGGGGAGCCGGTGGAAGGGCCACTTGGTGTGTTTGCTGCCTTCTGAACCCTTGTGTGGCTGGCAGAGGAGGGTGCAGGGCAACAGGTGGGCAGGCCTCAGCCATGGCCCTGTTGGCCTTCATGTCTCCCCACAGCTCCATCCTCAAGAGCACCTTTCCCTTCAAGACGGGAGAGCATATTCTGGAGCTGATGGAGACAGGCGGCTGGCATCCCAACAGCAGCAATGCAGACTTGCTCAACTACCGCTCTTTATTTATAGAGGTCGGTGGCTGGGACCAGAAACCCGCCCTGCCACCCCCTACCTTGGCTGCACCCTGGCCAGCGTGCCCTTCCCCTTGCCTTGTGACCCCTTGCAGGATGAGGAGGGCCACAGTGAGCCCTTTGTACAAAAGCTGTGGGAACAGTACATGGATGAGAAGGATGCATACCTGCAAGAACTAAAGCAGGAGCTGGGCATGGAACTGTGAGTGACTGTAGGGCTGTCAGGCCCACTCAGCAAGTCCCATGGGCTGGGCTGGTCCCTTAGGGCGGCACCGGAAGCCCTAGAACCTCCCTATGCCCTACACGGCTGCAGCCCAGCAGAAAGGGAGGCACCTTGGCATCTGGGGTTAAGGCCTGCCTCTCTTCCTGGGGACCAGCCGTGATGAAGTGACCCTATACAAGCTGCGTGTAGCCCTGATGAACATCGACCCCAGCCTGGACAAGCAGACCTTGAGAGCATACCTAAGCCAGGCCTTCCAGCGGCCGCTGGCAGAGCTACCAGAGGAGGGCAATGAGAAGGAGCACAGCATCGTGACAGGGCTCAAAGAGGCCCTGGAACAACTGCAAGCAGCTGACATCAAGCGCATGGGACCTCGAGAGCAAGAGACTGCCAGCTAGGGCCCGCATGGGTGGCTGAGTGCCCCAGGGCTGAAGAAAACCAGGTTTTAGTATTATGCTGTTTGTCTGACCCAAGCCTTTCTGCAGGCTGTGCCCGAGGGATCAGGGGTGGGGCATGGGGACGGGGGAGAAGTTAGGGATCCGGATTGGGGGCAGTCCCTGCCTGGCTATCCCAGCACATACATCAAAACACGAAACATTCTGTTTGTGATACTTTATTGATGCTAGGGGGTAGGCAAGAATACCAGGAGGCCTGGAAGAATAGATGGGGGAAGGGGACAAGTGTTATGGCCCGGTGCTACTGGGCTGGGAAGACAGAATTGCCACTGAATGCACAGGGGATGAGCAGCTGCCGGTACTCCAGCGGCAGGTGCCGCTCCACAAGCACGTGCAGTGAGACTCGGTCAGTGACCAGGCCCTGCCTGCAGCAGAGGGAGAGAAGGGACAGATGGTACCATGCCAGCCCTCTCTCACCCAGCACCCACCCACCTCCACCTCCTCACACTCACCGTCGCATCAGCAGCTCCAAATCCTCTGGCTTCACCGTCTTGCGGCCAGCATGAGCAGCAAATACCTCCAGGTCATCGCAGAGGTGCTGAAAATATTTGTCTAGGCTGCCAAGGTTAGCAGGGGAGAGACAGTCTGTCACCAACCTGAGGGCTCCTCCCTCAACCCCAGATGTCCAGAGCTCACCATTTCTCTACCATTCCAAGGGCTGCCTTCTCCATGGGCATCTTAGCGTAGAAGTTGAAGAGTTTTATGTAATGTTTCAATCCAGTCTTGTATGGATCTGGACGGGGCCTGTGGCCAGCAGCTCGGAGCCTGGGAGGAGGCCTGGCTGGCACAGCCTGGGAAGGTCTGCTGGGAGCAGGAGTGGATAGAGCTGGCTGAAATGCTGTCTGCAAAGGCCCTGATTCAAAGGCAAGCTTTGCTGGCTCCTGCTATGGCTGGGGACCATGTGCCCCTTGGTCAACCTAAATTAGCAACTGCAACCATATATGGGGGGCAGGGATGTCAAGGGGTCACCTATGGCTCTGGTCTCTCCCTGCGTCCTGTTCCTGCAGTCTTGACCCAATGTCCTAGTCTAGCTCATCATTTATTCTGGGGCTTCTTCAGGCTGTGACCCCCAGGCCTCAGAACAGACATTGTCTCCCATTAGTCCACAGCTGCCTGCCCAGGCCATCTCCAGCAGCTGTCTCTACACACTGCCCTGGCACCTCCCTTCACCCACGTTCCTTTCAGGCCCCTCCAGGATGACAGACACACTCCAGGGAGTGTCCTTCCCTGGCCCAGGGCATTTTCCATAAGGACCAGGAGGTGGGGTCCTGGGATCTTACAGGGTAGCATCAGGCAGTCGCGGTGGCTCAGCAAACCGAGGAGGCTGCTCAGCTTGGAAAGACCTGGGACTGCTGGAGGCCATCTCTGGACCTGCTGCAGAGGAAGGGCAGGTCACAGGAGGCTCAAGACCATAAGGCCCTATCTCTTGAGGGTCCCACCCAGCTCTGGTGCCACAAGGGACCTGTAACATCTTTTTGTCCATCTAACATCTCCAGTGCCCAGAAATGCATCCCAGGACCAGGAAAGCTCCTGCAATGTCAGGGCTGGAACACAGTGTTCTTGCCCACGTTCGCCTTGACCACTGCACGGGGCCTCACCTGTGCTATTGGAGGGGTCCTCCTCTCCTGAAGACACATCCAGCTCCTCGGCTTCTGCTGCATCTTGGGATCCCACTGCTTCTGTCACCTCTGGAGTAGCAGCAGGCCAAGGCTGAAGTTCTTGAAAGGGTAAAGATGGATAGCAGAGCCAGACCTAACCACTGAGGAAAGACAGTCCAGAGCAATACCAGGGCACCAGTGTGGAATCTCCTAGTCCAACATTGATTCTGCTCTTAGAAGAGGGTGGGACCACAACCAGAGAGTACCCATGACGGCTTCAGGATGGAAAACCAGAAGTGCCGATCTTAATGGAGCTAAGCTTGGCACCAGGCCATCTGCACCCGAAACACTCACCATCACTCTGCAGCCCGAGCCGACTGCTCTGTGTCCGGTGGGACGTAGTCCTCTCAGCATCTTCATTCTCATTGTGAGAGGGATGGGGAAGGAAGTGAGGCACACCAGGGGAATGGCCAGCCAAGGGCTGGGAGAAGGGTTGGGTGTCCTCCAACACAATGTCTGTCGGCACAGTGGTCACAGAGGTTCTGAGGCTGTTACCTAGAGAGAGCAAGGGCCGGCGGACACTCAGTATCCTCAAGGCCTACCTGCTGCTGCCAGGATGACCAGGGCATGGGCTATCGACCCCCAGGATCTGCCCAGAGAAGAGGAAAGATGACTCCAACCCAATTCTTACCTCCCTTCCACAGCTCTCCTGCTTCCTGCTCACCTGCCTGCTCTTTGCCTGGCATTCACAGGCCTCCAGAGCTGCTCCCTAAGCCCTGAGCCACTCACCCATGCCTCTCCTCTAGCCAGGACCCTCTTAATGGGGAATTTAAGCTAACATTAGGCTCCTGCACCTGCTGCCACAGGCTAGCTCATCTCTACACCCAGTGTTTTCCAGCCCTGGACTCAGCAAAACCTGCTCTAGGTCACAGGAAAGCGTCCCCAAAAGCCAGGGCAGGGAAAGCTCAAGGTTACCTGTAGGAGCAAAGGAGGCATCTTGCAGATCCTGCAAAAGGAGCCCCACATCCACAGCACGGCGTGGCGGAGGCTTGCGGGCGAGGCCCGGTCTCTTCACAGACTGCGGCTGAAGAGGGGTGGCAAAGGTCAGGTTCAGGGAGCTGGTGGAAGGGAGGAGGCACAAGAAGAAGTCAGGTTCCTGAGGTGCTTTCCCCAGAACCTGTGCCCACGGTTCTCAGTCACTGCAATGCAGCCCCTGGGCTGGGAGGCTGAACCTGGCAGAGAAGCAACTCAGTCAGCACCTCTCTCCCCAAATGTCTCCTTCACCAAAGCCCAGAACAAGGAACATCACCTGGTGAGGGAGGACGCATCTGCAGTCTCCTGAGGCTCTGCAGAGGATGTAAAACAAGAAACCCCAGTAAGTTCCCAGGCCCATCAGGGGCCTGTCTCGGGCCGCCTCAGCCTGACTGGAGGAGAGGAGCAACAGGGCAGCATCAGCCAGGCTTAGGGCTCACCTTGGGCAACAGGCTGACCTTGGTCCACTTGTCGTTCAAACATGGACAGCCGCACCCTTTGCTTCCTCCTGCCAGGAGCCAGCAGAGCCGGAGCCGGACTGGTAGAGGGCTCAAGCTCCGGAAGTTGCAGTTCCAGGCTAGGAAGATGGAGCTGATCTCAAAGAAGCATAACTCTGGCTTTTGAGGTTCCCAAGAATCTCCTGATACAGATCTGCCCACCAGGAGATCACTCTTTACCTGCCCCGACTGCTTTCCCGTCTTGAGGGCTGGGCGGCTGTGGGTGCCGGCACAGGCTTCCCTGTTGACTCTGGCTTCAGGATAGAGGATTCTGGGGCTGCAAAACACACCAAGAGAGTAGGGCCCACAGAGCAGGCTTTCCAGCAGGACAGACCCCAGGGGACCAGGGTGGACCTGGCTGCTGCCTCTGACCGCATGACCACAGGCTGCTGCCTGCGCACATGCTCACCTGTCCGCAAGATATTCTGGAACAGAGTCCGGGGTGTCTGTTCCTCCAGGTGTCTCCTGGCTTGGCTATGAACTGGCCTGCCCACGGACTGTGAATGAAGGCACCAACCAATCTATCCGTTGGCCTTGGAATTCTTCCCAAGGCAGGCCTCAGAGTAAAGCTAGATTTGTGGGATCCCAGGGCCCTAGAACAGCCAGCAGGCTGGTCACTCACCTTAGTTCCATGGGAGCGTCTTTTGGTTGTTGGTTTGGTTTGGCTGCGCAGCCTCCAAGACAAAGGGGTTTTAGGCAGGGTTCTCTGGGTCCTGTGTAAAGAACATGGCACAGTAACCTAGTGGCTAAAGTCCTCCCCTTGCATGCACTGGGATCCCATATGGATGCCAGTTTTAATCCTGGCTGCTCCACTTCCCATCCAGGTGTGGCCTGCTTGGGCTATCCTTTTCTGCTTGTGGCCTGGAAAAGCAGAAAAGGATAGCCCAAAGCCTTGGGGCCCTGCACCTGTGTGGGAGACCCAGAAGAAGCTCCTGATTACTGGCTTCAGATTGGCTCAGCTCTAGCTGTTGCAGCCATTTGGGGAGTGAACCATTGGATGGAAGATCTTTCTGTCTCTCCTTCTCTCTGTAAATCTCACTTTCCAATAAAAATAAATCTTAAAAAACAAAAAAAGATCAGTTAAAAAAAAAAGATCAGTGACTCTGCGAGTCAGGTAGGGCCTGGGGGCAAAGGGGTCAGTGGGTGAAGGCTAGACAGGCCAGGGGTTAATTACTACCTGTCCTTTAGAAAATATTTTACATATATATATATTATAAACATATGTTTATATATGTGTGTGCTGTTTTGTGTATATATTTTATATATAAAAAAACAACCAAGGTAAACATCTAAGCAGTTTCAGGGGATCTGAGTACTTTGTCAGGATATGCCAAGGTCCACCTGGGTCGCACTCAGTCCAGTTCTCAGATTCCAGAACCAGAGAATGCCGGATTCAGCAGCTTCTCATCTCTTAGAGGTCTAAAATCTACCAGGAACGGCCTCCTCCCTTTAAAGGCTGACAGAGGCCGACCTCTGCACCACCAGCTCGCCACAGCCCTCACCCACTGCCGCCCCGCGAAGCATGGGCTCTCCCGGCTGCTTTCCCACCTTCCCTCCAGAGTCTGAATGAAGACTTCCCGCATAGCTCGGCGGCCCGGAAGCCCCGGAGGCGGGGAGGGCAGTGAAGTCACTCTCACGGGCCAGGACTGCTCCCCAAGACTCAGTGCAGAGGCGGCACTGAAACCTACCCCAACCCCATCCCACCCAGTCTCCTGGCCCGAAGCTCAAGCAGCGCCCTCCAGTACCCAGCCCGAACACTCGAGCGACGCCGCGGGGAGCGCGAGTCGGCTGTATCCAACACGCGCCGCAGCAGAGTGCGCGTCGTAGGCTCGCTGTTCGGACTGTAGCTGTCAGCCATCCTCTCACACCGACTAGCCGTCCAACTGTCCAGGCAGCTGACGCCGCCGCCGCCGCCTTCCCGCCACCCAGGTTTAGATAACTCTCGCGACAAAGGCCGCACAGCCTCACGGGAATCGTAGTTCTCGCTCTACCGCGGCACAATGCGAGGTGGGTAGTGGTGACAAACTGGCAGGGGGAGGGAGGAGTCCTACTGAGTCGGCGCTTGCAAGCGATCTAAGTCTTGGTTTTCTCTTGTGACAATTTAAAGTAAAAAGAAACCTAAAAAGGAGCTTGTAATGATTTAATGTATTATACATCATTCGCTCTTGCACAAGCAGAGATTCAATTCAATTAACAGCAAGTCGCTCTTAGAATATCACTCCTTCCCATCTCCCTCGCTCGGGAAAAGGGGCGGCACTTGGGCTTGGAAAGACGCTTGCGTTCTGTGTGTGACCTGGCCAGATTGGCAAAGTAAAACAGTTCTGTTATCTATCAGAAGAGACTACGTGGCAGGTTCCAGCTTTAGTGATTGAGGCACTGGTGATCGAGAACCAGTGTTGGAATCTCAACAAGGCAATTTTGGAATGAATTTCACCTCTGCAAGTACTGTTGATGCTCACCACATTTTCCTGAACTTCTGTCTTCGGTTTTCCTGGCAACTGAACCAGAACTTGGATTCTGAGTCTCTCATGGAATTCTTCACAGAATTTGCTCCCAGGCCACATGTATCAGATACTCTACAGGCACGGACATACTTGTGCCTGTTAAAAAAAAATGGAAGCTCCTGCTTCCTGACTTGGAATTGGCCCAGTTCCCATCATTGCAGCCATTTGGGGAATGGACCAGCGCATGGAAAGATCTCTTTCCCTATCTCTCCTTCTCTCTCTGTAATTCTGACTTTCCAATAAAATAAAGGAGCAAAGGGGCCAGTGTCACGCCACGGTCCTGCTTCCCTCGTCAGAGCAGTAGTTCAAGTCTGGTTGTTCCCTTCCCGTGCTACTCTACGCTATTGTGCCTGAGAAGGGAGTAGAAGATGGCCACAGCACTCGTGCTCCCGCCACTCCCATGGGAGATCAGAATGGGGTTCCCGGTACCTGGCTTCAGCCCAGATCTGCTGGTGTAGCCATTTAGGAATTGAACCAGTGGGTACTTCACTGTTTCTCTAATAAATAGATAGATCTTTGCTTTTTTAAAATGTAGCAAATAAAAAAAAATTGTATTAATGTTTCTCAAAAAGAACTGGAAAGGGCCCAGTGCAATAGCCTTTCAGCTAAAATCTTCCTCGCCTTGAACATGCCAGGATTCTATATGGGCACTGGTTCTGATTCCAGAGGCCCTGCTTCCCATTCAGCTCCCTACTTGTAGCCTGGGAAAGCAGTCAAGGACAGCCCAAAGCCTTGGGACCCTGCACCCGCATAGGAGACCTGGAAGAGGCTTCTAACTCCTGGCTTCAGATTAGCGCAGCACCAGCCACTGCGGCCACTTAGGAAATGAATCATTGGATCAAAGATTAGAATCAGAGCCTAAATGGGATCCCAATGTATTCAAGGCAAGGTCTTTAGCTGATAGGCCACCACACCAGGCCCAGTATTACTGTTTTTTAAGCAAATATTTGCTTTCATCTTTTAAAAATTTTTCATTAATTTTTGAATATGTACTTAATTTTAGTTAGAAAGGCAGATCAGATTTACGTGGAGAAGGAAATATAGGGAGAATGATTTTTCATCTGCTGTTGTACTCCGCAAATGGCTGCAAGGGCTGGAATTGAGGCCATCTGAAGCCATGAACTTCTTCCGATTCTCCCACATGGGTACAATGGAACATCCTCTACTACTTTTCCAAGTCCTAAGCATGGAACTAGATGGGAAGTGGAATAGCCACGACACAAACTAGGGTGCTGATAGTTGGAGAGGAAGGATAAGCAGTTGAGCCATCACACTGGGCTCAGTTTTTTTTTGTTTTTTTTTTTAAGATTTATCTATTTTCACTGGTAAGGCAGATACAGAGAGGAAGAGAGACAGAGAGCAAGGTCTTCTGTCCAATGGTTTACTCCCAAAGCAGCCACAATGGCTGAAGCTGAGCCAAGCCAAAGCCAGGAGCCAAGAGCTTCTTCTGGGTCTCTCATACAGGTGCAGGATCCCAAAGCTTTGGGCCATCCTTTACTGCTTTCCCAGGTCACAGGCAGGGAGCTGGATGGGAAGTGGAGCTGCTAGGATTAGAACCGGCACCCATATGGGATCCAGGCGCATTCAAGGTGAGGACTTTAGCCACTAGGCCATGCCGCCAGGCCCAATAAATAAGTCTTAAAAACAACAACAACAACAACAAAAAAAAAACGTGGCCTATAGGGATTCCAGTGCTTTAACTGCTATGCTATTGTGCTGAGCCCTGGGCTCAGTTTTATTATTTGAAAGGAAGGGTTAAAGAGGGAGAAAAGTAAGATCTTCCATCTAAAGATTCATTCTCTAAATGGCTGTCACATCCAGGGCTGAGCCAGGCTGAAGCCCGGAGTCACGAGCTTCCTCCAGGACTCCTATGTGGGTGCAGGGGCCCAAGTCTTAGGCCATCTCTGCTGTGTTCCCAGGAACATCAGTGAAGAGCTAGATCAAAAGTACAGTTTCCAGGACTTGAACTGGCAAATTCAGAGAGACTTAGCTTGCCATGGCACAATGCTGTTGGCTCACCCTTGTTCTAAATGTTGTAGGCATTCACTGGGGAGTTCAACAACAGTATATCAAAATCAGATTTTCTTCAGCAGTCATGTCAAGAAAAGATTGAAAGGGTGGCAACAGGGAAAGCCGTGAGGCGTGTGATAAGATTCTGGTCTTTCTTGGAAGGTGACAAAATAGAGGGTGAGCTGGGCGTGGGGAGGGGAGAAAACCATGCAGTCTGGATATGCTTTGAATGTCGGAGATTAAAACAAATCTTATATATTAGAGTTTTACTGAGAATAGTTTTCTCGTTTTTTAAGATGTATTTTTTCTTTAAGATACATTTATATTTTATTGCAAAGTCAGATATACAGAAGAGGAACGACAAAGAGATCTTCCATCCAATGATTCACTTCCCTAGTGACCGCACAATTAGTGCTGCGCTAATCTGAAGCCAGGAGCTAGGAACCTCCTCCAGGGCTCCCATGCGGGTGCAGGGTCCCAAGGCTTTGGGCTGTCCTTGACTGCTTTCCCAGGCCACAGGCTAGGAACTGGATGGGAAGTGGAGCAGCCAGGATTAGAACCATCAGCCATATGGGATCCCGGCATTTTCAAGGCGAGGAAGACTTTAGCAGCTAGGCCACGGCACCGGGCACTCTTTTCTTTTCTTTTCTTTCTTCTCTCTCTCTTTTAAGATTGTTAATTTTTTCTTCTCTCTCTTTTAAGATTGTTAATTTTTTTTTTTTTGGAAAGAGATCTACAAGCAGGAGAAATAGGAAGAGAAGAGAAAGTTCTTCCATCCTCAGTTCATTCCCCAAATGGCCACAACAACATCTGGAACTGAGTCAACCTGAAGCCAGGAGCCAGGAGCTTCTTCTGGGTCTCCTATGTGGGTACAGAGTCCCAAGGTTTTGGGATCCTAATGTGGGCAAAACAAGGATTTGGCCACTGAGCCATCACACTCAGGGTCCAACCTCTTTTTTTTTTCAAAGATTTAAAAAAAATTTATATCAAGAGCTACAAATTGAGAGATTATTCATCTGTTAGTTTACTTCCCCAGATACCTGCAAATCCCAAGGCTGAGCCAGGGAAAAGCTAGGAGCCAAGAGCCAGGAGCTTCATCCAGATTTTCCTGGATGGCGGGCCCCAACCACTAAGTTATCTTCTGTTGCTCTGCTCAGTCATTAGCAGGGAGACAAATTGGAAGCAGAACAGCCAGGACATAAACTGATGCCCATATGGGATGCTGGTATAAGAGGCAGCAGCTTTATTAGCTACACCACAACACTGGCCTCCCACCTACCGTATTTTAAGCAAGGTGAATATAAGTTGAATGATATCAGTAATGACAATGAAAATACACAATAGAAAATACAAGGATTTTTTTGCTGACTTTTCTGTATACATATGTTTTATAAAAATATAGACATGTATCATTGCATGCATTCATACTATTGTCAAAATAATTCCCCAAATGAAAACCCATTTTTCACTGTGAGCCAGACACTAGATCCCACAGTTCTGAATTTGCAGTCTAGATTGTGGTCCTCAGCAACACCTGAGTGCAGGAAAGGGCCATTAGTAAAACACACGGTAACCAAGAACTACATTGTCAGTACAGAATCCAGTGGTACTGTCTGGGTGTTGGATCCAGAAAATATACCTTCCCTATTGTCCTGTAATTTTTCTAAAGCTTTTAAAGCATTGGTTACCTTTCTGATAAAACATAAACTAATAATAATGACAACATGGAGCATTTTATTTTCTTTTGAAAGCTATTATTTACTGAAATATTAATTTGTTTGAAAGGCAGTTACTAGAGGTTCCCTGAGTCTATGGAACTTTATCATAAAAATCTTAAAAAATAAATTGATGGCTGCCCAGGGCATTGGAGACAAGGGGCTGGTCTGCTCCAGACCCGGCACAAGTTTCAGCCTAGAACAGCAGGGGCCACAGGAGCCAGTTATGTCACCAACCTGGAGGGATTCCAGTTGACCAATGGCACACCTGAATGGACATTCCTTACATAGTTGGGGCACAGACAGCCCCTTTGCCTGCCCACGTGTCTCGAGGAGTACAAAACTGCTCAACAGGTATCTCAGCTGCCCTTTTCGCCTCCCTCTTCTTTCCCCTCTGTGCGAAGGCGTCCCAGGAGCGGATTTTCCAATAAAGCTTCCATTACAACTCTGAACAACTTGCCGATATTCCACCAGCGGGTGGGCGGGAGGTGGTCATCATCTAACATGAATAATAAAAGAAAGGAAGCATTACAGAGAGAGAGGGACAGTGATGTGCCATCTGCGGTTTCACTGTCCAAATGGCTGCAAAGACTTGAACCCAGGAGCTTGGGATTCTATCCAAGTCTCTCACATGGTTGACGGGCCATCCTTCACTATTTTCCCAGGTACATTAACAGGACCAGTTCAGAAGTAGAGCAGCTGGGACTTCCAAAGGCACTCATGGAATTTGTCACCCCACACTTTAAAATTTTTTTGAAAAGATTATCTAGCTATTGGAAAGGCAGAGTTTTTGGAGAGAAGAAAGACAAACAGAAAAAGCTTGTGAAGAACCTCAGTATCAAAATCCCAACCATTTGTTCATGGCTCATCACTACTAAGAAACTGTATGAGCTTGCAAGCTAAAAGGCCTATGTAACCTTTAGCAGCCTGTGTGACTTTTAGCACTGATGGTTCCCAATTCTTATGAATCAAGGCCCACCTAAATCTGGTTATCTCACAGGTGGCTCAAAGTAATGAAGTGGGTGCTTCCCGTAGTTGCTGGAGGCACAAGCTGTCCAGCAGAGATAGGTAGGGAATGTATGGTATTTCTCCTCACATTGCAGGCTATTGTGAATTGCCCCTTTTCAAGCTATTGTGGACTGCCCCTATAAAAACCCTGTGAATATGCTGTTCCAGGCCACACTCCAGGTAAGGAAGTTGGTCCCTGCTGGCTGCCTGCTCTCAACTAAGATCCCAGGCTTGGATGTGCTGAGCTTCAATAAACCATTTTTGTGCACTTGGATTTACTTCAGACTCTTGGTTATCTCAAAATCGGGGCACAACACTTGCATCCACTGATTCACTCCCAAATTGCAGGAAAGGCTAGAGCTGTGTTGATCTGCAGCTAGGAGCTAGGAACTTCCTCTACACCTTTCCACATGTATGCAGAGATTCAAAGACTTAGGCCATCTTCTGCTTCTTTCTTAGGCCATTTAGCAGGGAGCTAGGCAGGAAGTGAAACAGCCAGGACTCCAATCAGAGTCCACATGGGATGCTGGCACTGCAAATCAAGGCTTAGCTTGCTTACTCCTTCCTCCAAGGGACCAGCCCCAATATTTTTTAAATTTTCATATCAATAAAAATAATACAAATATGCAAGAGTTCATTTTCATAATCTGTTATCAGGAGGAAAAATGAGAGAACTTTTAAGAGGATGGGTGAAGAGGATCCAAAAAAAGGCAGGTGGGTGGCAGCAGGCCTCAGGAGAAGGAGCACTCCTGAGCAGCTTCTGTAGCGCCCTGCAACTCTTCCCACACCTTTCACAGCCTCAGGCATCACTTTCCCCTAAGGAAGGCCAAAGAACTACACAAAGGGGCAGGTACAGCTGCAGTTGGCCAATCCCTAAAGCCATGTGGGAAGCAGCTTCCAATCCAACTTTATGCAAAGGCGCCTATGGCAGCTGAGGATCCAGATAGAGCTTGGAGTCTTGTCTCCAGCATGTGGGGGCCATTTTGGGAGTGAAAAACCTCTGTCATTCAGCTTTCTTTTTCTTTCTTTCTTTTTTTTTTTTTTTTTCGCCAATGCCGACTATATTTCAAGTCATCACAGTGGGATATGGGGAAAAGTTTTCAATTAGCAACAATAGTGCCTCGGATAAACCTCATTGGCTACAATCCTGCCATTGCGCAAAGCTTGTCACTCAGATTTCAAATAATTTTTTATAGATTTATTTGTATTGGAAAGTCAAATATACAGAGAGGAGGAGAGACAGAGAAAGATCTTTTGTCCATTGATTCACTCCCCAAATGACTGCAACAGCTGGAGTTGAGCCAATCTGAAGCCAGAAGCCTCGAGTTTCCCACATGAGAGCAGGGTCCCAAGGATTTGGGCCATCATCCGCTGTTTTCCTAGGCCACAAGCAGGTAGCTGGATGGGAAGCGGGGCAGCCCGGACATGAACCGGCACCCACATGGGATCCTGGGGCGTGCAAAGTGAGGACTTTAGCCACTAGGCTATCATGCTGGGCCTCAAATAATTTTTAAAAAATATTTATTGTCTGTCCATTGATTTACTCCCCAGTTGATCAAAATGGCTGGAACTGAGCTGAATGGAAAGCAGAAGCCAGGAGCTTCTTCTGGGTCTCCCATGCGGGTGCAGGATCCCAAGGCTTAGGGTCATCCTTGACTGTTTTCCCAGGCCACAGGCAGGGAGGTAGATGGGAAGCAGGGGCTGCTGGGATTAAACCAATGCCCATATGGGATCTGGGTGCGTACAAGGGGAGGACTCTAGCGGCTAAGCTACCATGCTGTGCCCAAATAAATTATTTTTAAAGTGCGGGGGGGTGGGGGGTGGGGAGGAGGGCACTTTAGAATGATGTCCAGCTGTCTGTATGATAAAATCTCAATTCCTTTAATATGGTTGCGTTCCATATAGTTCCCACCCACCTCAGGTCGCTGAACCCCTCTTTCAGTAGGTCTCCTTCCTACCCTAGACTTTCCAGGACTTTTCTGGATCCCTGGCGCCCATTTTCAATGAAGAATCTCTTCATTGCTTTCTGAGACTACGTGGTGCTTATCGGTGTTTTGATTCACATTAGTGAAGTAAATAGATGCAGGTAGTGGCTGACTCGGGAGTCTTCAAGGTAGTGAAAAGGGCCCAGGTTTCCCCTCCCTACACTTCCACAGGAATATCACTGATTCAAAGGTACCGGTTTGGAGACCTGCTCAGGGCAGGGAGAACAACCTCGCCCAATTCTGGTCCCCCTCCCACCTTGCTCAACGCGCGGTACCACGGGAATTGTAGTCTCCATAGCCACACACCGAACGCGCTTGCGCAGTGCAGAGGGTAGCGTTCCCCAACCCCCACCTCATCAGGATTCCGGGTCCTTGTCGGGGACAGTCCGTGCGACAGCGTTCCAATCGGATACTCCTCTCTCATCCTCCAGGGACAAGTCTGACTGGGAAAGACGACACTGCTTTGCAAAGATTTGTCGGAGGAATTCTGAAAAGCGGTAGGAAGCGCACCCCTTCTCCGGAAGTGAGCACCGCGTGGCGCGGTGCATTGTGGGGGGCGTAGTCCTTCTTCTCAGGCGGTCCTTGGCGGCGTCCCCGGGGCCGACTCCCGAGCGCAGGCGGGCGGCTGGGCGAGCGGCGCAGCGCGGGCCGGCTGGAAGCGTCTTGTGGGCACGGGCCGCCGGGCAGGTGTGGCAGGCGGCGCGAGTGGGAGGCCGTCTTAAAGTCTCGTGCGGCGCCGCCCGACGGAGGGTCGGGCTGCCGGGCAGCGGCGGGACCGACCTGACCGTCGAAGGGCGCAGAAGGCCGGAGGGGCCGTGCGGGGCGGCGCGGCGCAGCCATGCCTGGCTTTACGTGCTGCGTACCGGGCTGCTACAATAACTCGCACCGGGACAAGGCGCTGCATTTCTACACGTTTCCCAAGGACGCTGAGCTACGGCGCCTGTGGCTGAAGAATGTGTCCCGGGCTGGCGTCAGCGGGTGCTTCTCCACCTTCCAGCCCACCACGGGCCACCGTCTCTGCAGCGTTCACTTCCAGGGCGGCCGCAAGACCTACACAGTGCGAGTCCCCACCATCTTCCCGCTGCGCGGCGTCAATGAGCGCAAAGTAGCGCGCAGGCCTGCAGGAGCTGCGGCTGCTCGCCGCCGGCAGCAGCAGCAGCAGCAGCAGCAGCAACAGCAACAACAACAGCAGCAGCAGCAGCAGCAGGCGTCGTCCTCCACGGCCTCCACGGCCCAGTCCTCCCAGCTGCAGCCCAACCTGGTGTCGGCCTCTGCCGCCGTGCTCCTCACCCTTCAGGCCGCTGTCGACGGTAACCAGGCTCCGGGGTCCGGTCCGCAGGCGCCCAGCACTCCAAATGGAGAAGATGTGAAGCCCATTGACCTTACGGTGCAAGTGGAGTTTGCAGAGGGCGCGGCTGCCGCGGCTGCTGCAACAGAGCTCGAGGCTGCTACGGCAGGGCTGGAGGCCGCCGAGTGCCCTATGGGTCCCCAGTTGGTGGTGGTTGGGGAGGAAGGCTTCCCTGATACCGGCTCCGACCACTCGTACTCGCTGTCGTCAGGCACCACGGAGGAGGAGCTGCTGCGCAAGCTGAATGAGCAGCGGGATATCCTGGCGTTGATGGAAGTGAAGATGAAAGAAATGAAGGGCAGCATCCGTCACCTGCGGCTCACCGAGGCCAAGTTGCGTGAAGAACTGCGCGAGAAGGATCGTCTCCTGGCCATGGCTGTGATCCGCAAGAAGCACGGAATGTGAATGTGAGCCATCTGGCCTGCGGGATTCCTGGACCCCTTGCCTCCTATGGCCTCCTCGGGCACTAGGGGCACCGTACTGATGATTAGGGCAGCTGGATTCTGGCTGGTGATCTGATAGTCTCACTTGTTTTCCTTCTAAAAGTAGGAGTCTGCGGCCTCCAGCTCTGCGCCGGAGACACCAGCATTTGTGACTTGGTTTAACCTCCCTCCCCATGTTGTGTTGCAGATTCTGGCTAAGCAGAGGCCTCAGAACCATAGAACTTGAAACTTAAACCCCTGAGGGTTGCAGGTGGGATGCTCCAGAGACTTTGGGTTTGGGAAAACCTCTCCTTAAGGCTGGACAGCAACCGGAAACGATTCTTCTGTGTGTAGTGATAACAGTTCCAAGGAACCTGAGTTCCCGTATTACTTTTTCCTTCTGGGGTGCAGCCTGTGACTCTATTGGGGATTGGTGGATCTCAGGGTCTTCTAGGACCTCCCTCTCCAGGAGGCTGTTGACCATGGGAACTGGGGGACCTGCAGACGGAGATCCAGCTTGCCAGGGACTTAGGTTTATCCTGTTATGTTTGCTACTGGTTACAAATTCTATTTTCTGTACAATTAGACTAAAGTTTTCACTGTGTTTGTTTGGCAAGACAAATTAAACAAAAAGTAAGGTTTTTATTTGGGTTTTGCCATTTTATTTAACTATCTGGGAAACCTAGGGAAATAGGCTTCAAAGGTTGATGCTGCGAGTGCACATGGTTTCATGATCGGTTTAATGTTGGCTGCTAGCCTCGTGGGCCCAGCTCATTCCAGTAAGAGACAGGAAATGAAACCAAGCAGTCCCAGCCTGTCCGAGGCACATATCCCTGTATCTTTTAACCAGGAGGTGTGATTGCGAGCTAAGCTGAATTCACAGCCATCGCTGAGGATTTTGAATTCTCAGCTGGAGTTGACATTTGCTCAGCATTTCCACTCTGAGGGCTTAGCTCGGTGGCTGGGGCACCTAACCTGGAAAAGACCGCATCCAGATCCAGCCATGGCTCTTTAATACACAAAGATTCTGCAGTGTGAAGGAGCTGTACACAGAACGTGTTAAGGGGTTGAGATTTGTGGCTCTTGATCGATCTTGGCTGCTGTTCCTTTTCTTCAGATTGGGTCTAGGAGGGGTGAGGATGACACAGCTTTGAGTAATGTAGCTCAAAGGCAGTAAGAAGTGTATGCCTTCAAAGCAAGACCTGTTTACCATAGTGTTGAGACAGAAATGGACATTTCTTGAGCTCCAGAAAATTATTTGCTGTTATGTAGACAAAATACCTAGGAACTTGTCCTATGGCTTCAAGGAGGAATGGCTCCCAAACTAGTGTCTGCTTTCCTTCCTTTCCCTTGACACTGTGCTGCAAAACAAGTTTGGCGGGGGAAGTGAGGGTGTAGCATAGGTTGTACAGGTGCTTGGTGGGCAGTGGATTCAATCTTAGTAGGGCTAGTTTTGACCCTGCTTGAGAGTGGAGTCAGTCTTTGCCTTCTTATAGTTAGTTCTAGCTAGTAAATAGGTGGCAGAAGCAGAGGTCAGCTTTTCATGCCCAAATCAGGCCAATCACATATCCCTACTCTGTTTCCTTTGAGATGAAGCTTTTCCTAGACTCCATGATCTTCAGTGTGAGCTCCTGTCTCTATTTTTGCAAACAGAAGTATATTTGAAAAGTGACCAGGTGAACGAGGAGAAGAGGGAAGGGGAAAGAACCTCCTGAGAGAAATCCAGGAGTTGGGGTGCCTCTCGAGTGGAAAACGGAAGGCCATACTCTCCTTCTGAGAGGTACCCAAGCTCCTGTTTGTTGAAAGAATGACAGGGAGATGTAGAGACAGATCTTCCAACTACTGGCTCACTGCTCAAATGGCTCCAGCAGCTGAGACTGGACCAGGTCAAAGCCATAAGCCCAGAACTTTACCTAGATCTCCCGTGATGGTGGCAGGGGCCCAGACTGTCATTATTTGCCGCTTTCCCTGACACTTCTGCAGACAGCTGTATTACAAGCAGAGCAGCAAGGATGGGTGAAAATTGGCACTCTGATATGGGATGCAGCAGTATAGTAAGCAGTGTCCAGCTGTGCTGCACAAATGGCTCAGACCTGATTTTTTTTTTTTAATTTATATTGGAAAGTCAGATACACAGAGGAGAGACAGAAAGGAAGACCTTCGTCCACTGAATCACTGCCCAAGCAGCTGCAATGGCCAGAGCTGAGCCAATTGGAAACCCAGAGCCCCGAGGCTCTTTCGGGTCTCCCTTGTGCATGCAGGCCCCACGGCTTGGCACCATCCTCGACTGCTTTCCCAGGCTACCAGGTGCATTCAAGGTAAGGACTTCAGCTGCTAGACTACTGTACTGGGTCCTTGTTTTCTTCTTTAAAGATTTATGTTATTTTTTTATTGCAAAGTCAGATATACGGAGAGGTGGAGATCTTATGTGATGACTCACTCCCCAAGTGACCACAATGTTTGGCGCTGCACCGATCTGAAGCCAGGAGCCAGGAACTTCCTCTAGGTCTCCCACTCGGATGCAGGGTCCCAAGGCTTTGGGCCATCCTCAACTGCTTTTCCAGGCCACAAGCAGGGAGCTAGACAGGAAGCAGGGCAGCCAGAATTAGAACCAGCACCCATATGGGATCCTGGCATGTTCAAGGTAAGGACTTAAGCCACTAGGCTGCCATCCTGGACCCCTCTCTCTTTTTTTTAAGATTTATTTATTATTATTGGAAAGACAGATCTACAGAGAGAAAGAGAGACAGAGATACCTTCTGTCTCCTGATTCATTCCCGATATAGCCATACAGCTGGACCTGAGCTGATCTGAAGCCAATATCCAGGAGCTGCTCTAGGTTCAGGGTCCTGGGCTGTCCTCAACCACTTTCCTAGGGCTCATGTAGCGAGCTGGATAGGAAGTGGAGTATCTTGGACACAATCCGGCACACATATGGCATCCTGGTGCATGCAAGGCAAGGACTTCAGCCATTAGGCTACTGTGCTAGGCCTAGAGCTCCTGATTAAAAAACATTTTTTTATATAGAATTTTTTTTTAATTGGAAAGTCAGATACACAGGAGAGACAGCGAGGAAGATCTTCCATCCGTTGATTCACTTCCGAAGCAGCCAAAATGGCCAGAGTTGTGCCGATCTGAAGCCAGGAGCCAGAAGCCTCTTCTGGGTTTCCCATGTGAGTGTAGGGTCCTCAGGCTTTGGGCTTTCATTCATTGCTTTCTCAAGCCACAAGCAGGGAGCTGGTGGGAAGTGTGGCTCCCAGTAGCACTTCCTGGGTCCTCTCTGATCTGCATATTATGTAACTGCAAGCTGTCCAGTGTTTTGGCTTAAGAGGAGCCAGCACACAGGAAGGGAGTTCCCAGATATGGATACACTACAAATATGATCATCTTAGTAATCAGAGCAGGATCTAGTCAGGCAATCCATAGTATGAACAGACTGGGGCTTTAATAAGTAGAAATTTGGTCTGGTTTTTCCAGTGATTCTCAGGAGACAGAGTAGGGGCGAGTACAGCAAGAATGCTAAGATCTCTGGGAAGGCATGTAGCTTGCAGCTAACTGAACAATAGGTCTCCCATGCAGGTGTAGGGTTCCAAAGATTTGGGCCATCCGCAATTGCTTTCCCAGGCCAGCGGGGAGCTGGATGGGAAGTGGGGCTGCTGGGAGTAGAACCAGTGTCCATATGGGATCCCGGGGCGTGCAAGGTGAGGACTTTAGCCGCTAGGTTATGGCGCAGGGCCCTTCATTCTATTTCTTACGAACTTTCTGAACTTCTCCAAGTTTGAAGGTAATCATTTTTCAGCCATGCCCCACCAGCTAGTAACCAGTTTGGGAGGCTCTAGGAGCCCCGGTACCGAGCACACCAATGTTGGGGCAGCAGAAGTTGTTGGTTTGACCCGGGTGGGCTAAAGCCGCCAGCTTCCAAGAGCCAAAAGGGAGGCCAGACACCCGAAAGGGAGGGAGTTTGGGGAGAGAAAACAACTCAGAGGCCCAGGAACGTGTGGCCGGGCCAGCTGGGGGCTGGCCGGGCTCCCAGGGAGGCGGGGTCAGCTCTCTATCAGCCTTGCAGCCGAGGCGGGGCCTGGCCAGCTGGGAGCAGGCAGCAACAAAGTCCTAAGCCTTGCCTGGCGCCAACCTCCAGTGTTCCAGAGGCTTCCGCTAGACCACAATTCTCAGGGACTCGCCCGGACAGCCTCCCTCCCAGACTTAAGCCTCACCTCCCGCGCTGCGGCCCGTAGCAGGGCCTCTGCGCTTAGCACCGCGGGAACTGTAGTTTTCTAGTGGCGTAATTAGGCCGGAAAGGGAAGCGGTGGTACTACGTTTCCCAGAGTGCAGCGAGGCGAGCAAGGGAAGGCAGGGGGGAAGGGACAGTCGGTCGCAGACCGCGCTGGGTTGCCGCCGCCGCCGCTGCCGCCATCGTGCCAGCCCCTCGGGTGAGTGTCGGGGCTCGCGTCCCGGGAATGGAGCTGGGCCGCAGAAGCCGGGCTCTCGGCCGCCCGGGGCCTCCACGGCGAGGCCCCGGGAGGCCCCTCCCCGTCCCTCCTCCCGGCGGCCCGAAGCCGCGCGGGGCCCGGGCCATGTGTCGCGCGCGGCTCCGCCTCCCGCCGGTCTTCTGAGGCGGCGGCCTCGGGGGAACGCAGGGAGCCAGACAGGAGCTTATCCGGACCGTTCCGTCCCGGTGGCTTGTTGCAACGCCGTGGCAGGGCGCTTCCGGATGAAGCTCCCAGTGCCCCCCCCCCGGTCCAGCCTGGCTCGGCCTCTTAGTCCCGCAAGCTCTTGCAGGCAGGGTCGCGGGCAGACCATGGTCCCGTGTTCCTCCATCGCCGGCGAAGCACCCGGGGGGATGGGCGGCACCTCCTGGCCCGCTCCGGAGTCCGCCTAAGTAAGGGTTCCTACTTGGCATAGCTGGACCTTTGGGTCCTTACCCGGGTGCCGATCCTAATAGTCTATGTGCACACTGTCCAGCTTGGCTGTCCGCTGGGGGTGCACCTGCTTTCTTTGTAGAACCCATGCATAGCTTTATCTACATGGAGGGCAGGTCAGGACGTTTGAGGCAGGAGAGAGGGTTCCACTAGGCCAGGGGTTCCACCCTTGGCCAACCTTGGAAGACTTGAACTTGATGAGGCTGCTTTGGGCTGGTCGGCCCAACCCCGCCCTGCCCTATCAGTGACCAGGTCCCTCGAGGTTGGCTGTTAATGGAGGAAGCCGGGGAGGAAAGCAGGGAGGTGTGAGGTTGCGTGTGGGAGTTTCTGAGGCCCTTATGAGACGTTTCAGGCACAGCACCATTCTCATCTGTGCCCTTCCTGGAGTCAACGTAAAATTTCTTTATAGGAGAGGATGACTCCGTAAAAATGGGGCTGATAAGGTGGGGTTTCATACACAGAAGAAAATAAAAAGAATCCAGGCCCGAGGTTCATGAACCTAGTGCTAGAAGAGATTGAACTCGAAGGGGGGACCTTAGGGTGTGGCACTTTGGAGCTGCAGGCAGCAGATTATGACTCTAGATGGTGGACCTAGAGCTGGGAGCTGCAGGAAGTCAATCTTCCTCTCTCTGGTTCCTTCACTTACCTGTGAACAGGCAAGGAGTTGGTTGGGCTTTGGATAATTAACACCACAGACACTCACCGCCCAAGTTCTTGGAAAAGGAT